TGAGCGACTTCTCTTCTTTATTGTAGAATTCCACCTCTACTGATCAGTTCTTCTTCGTCGAAGATATTTGAACCAGAGTACATATTTAATACGGGCGGTAGTCAATTCGGTTCCGCCTCGTAATAAATCACTGACATGACGCAGTCTCGTAATCTCTCGTGCAGTGCTTCTCATGGCATTCCACAGACACTAACGACTTTTTTAAAGGATTCTTGCTAGCGCCCTCGAAAGTTAAATTTAAAAGGGTCACGACCAAACACTGCCTCAACGGACACATTTTTGAAAAAGTTAAGCAATTAACAAATACTAAATTTTAATTAATTTTACATCGATCGATAAATTCGATGAAATCGACAAAAATCGATAACATTTACACTTCGTCAGCGTGCGAGTATTGATTTTTATCTATTGATAGATAAAATCGATAAAGCCGGTTCAATTTCAATTTATCGATTTTTCGAACGGTTTTCCGATATCGATTTTTATCGATTAACTTTCCCGGGCTATATTGCACCGAGATCTATCGCCAACTCCAAGCGATTAAGTTATCACTGTAATTTTTGCTGACGACCCAGTGGCCGACAAGGAATGTTGTGGAAATTACGAGAAGAAGGTAGAGGTGGACTAAGTACTAGCGCAACAACTGAAGTGAAAACTGTATTAAGCGGACCCCATCTTAAGCGGACACCCTGTATTAAGTCGACACCAGCCTCAGTTTCAAGGCCAATTTTTCTTCCCTTATTTTCTATAAAATGAACCTGTATTAAGGGGACGCCTTTGTTAGGCGGACAGTAGCGCGTCAAAACCGTGGGTGAACGCTTAAGACAGGTTTCTGACTGTATGAACATGAGACAATGAACCCATCTCAGGGAACGGTCACTAATCAGAGGGTGGGGAGGGAGCATGCGCAAAGGAAAAAGGACGTGGATAAATTTATACAAGGATTTTGAAATGAAACCTTTATAAAAGTGAACTTTCTAATTCTTTGCAGTGAAAGCTTTAAACAGAATGTGTAAGGGAAAGGGTTAAAACAACTTTCTTGGGGTACTCCACCAGAAGCGGGAGGAGATGTGGCTATGGCCTCGAAAATTTCCAGTTTTACAAAACCTTCTAAAAAGCATGATATTTTTCAAAATTTGTAAAATATTTTTAAAAAGGATAAACCAGTGAGCAGCACTTCTGCGAACTTCTTGACTTGTAAAATTGTTTTATTGTCTCCTACGCGTTTCGTCTGAGCTGAAACTGTGGGCCCCAAAACATTACAAATATGTCACAACTTGCAAAATATTTCTCCGCCTGTTTCTTAGACGTATAACCACGAAGTTTGCAGTTCCTACTTGCAAATCCGTAGGTGTTTTATGTTTAATGTAAAATTCATTTTGCTTTTTAGGTATATATCCAGGTACTCTTAGTTGTATTGTAAAACACCCTGATGAAGTGTGCGCTAGTCACACGAAACGCGTAGGAGACAATAAAACAATTTTACAACTCGAGAAGTTCGCAAAAGTGCTGCTCACTTTTTTATCCTTTTAAAAGATATTAGGAACGTAAAATGTGCTAGAAAATCAGCTTTGTTAATAAAAATGGTTGGTAGTAATGGAGATGACTCTTACAGTGACCCGGGTTAAGATTCAGAAGAGGAGGACGATGTACTTGCAGAGATTGGAAGGTCGAGGAGTCTGAAGGTGAGATGGGTGCTCCTATTGTTTATACAAGACCCGGGTGGAGAGGCAGACGGTTCAAAATTTGAAGGCATCTCGCTATTGTATCCCCTAAAAATTATGAAAATCTCGAGAATAGTGTATAATGACCAGTTAATACTAGTGTGTTTCATGTCTGGAAAATTATCTGTCGAAAGGAGAGGGGGTGGAGGTGGGGGGGGGGGGAGGCTCTGAAAAAAACATTGCACAATGGATGAGGGGGACAATAATAGCCGGCATTCCCACCCATACACCAACCCCATCATACTCTCTAATTATTGACTGGTCCCTAACTGCTAGCTGTAATTACGCCTTATTTAATAAACGTTTGAAAATCTAACACAAAATCGCGAAAATTTTATTTATTCTTCTAATTTTCTTTTTAACCATTTGATCCATCAATATATCACTAAGGGAAGTAAGACGTCAATTATTCTGGCTCCAAAGAAATGGGGCCCGCCTACGCGGTACATCAACCAAGTCCAATAACTAAGCAAATGGTTTCGAGTTCCTCTGTTTTCTTTTATTTATTTGCACCTGCCGCATACCACATTTTAATTAATGCACCATATGCTCTAAAGCTACATTATGCAGTATATTTAATTTGCACTTACTTTATCCGTAGCACAGCCATACTAACTTTCTGACACGCAATGACGCAACACTACTGACTGTTCACTTCACAATAATACCCATAATGCTGCGGGGTAGAGTCAACACTACAAGCCGCGAATAGCCCTGACTCTTGATTGAAATATTTCCCCACGGGACAAGCCGGGACACCTGAGTCCCTAACTGCATGGTGCTTATGCTTTTTGGCCTTTTTCAAGGAGCGTTTTCTTCCCTGACTGGCCCTAATGTTTGAATCTTTCCTCTTTCTGCATAGTTGAAGCTTAGCTTGGAGATACAATTTGGTTTCCGGAGCAGGTTTAGGGGCATTGCCAATGTTTTGGTCCAGTTTTATAAGCCAAGGACTGTAGATTGATGGATAAGCACCCAAATTATTGTTGAGCTCCCCCCTGCTTTGAACACAAATACCTTTAGGTCCTGGGGAGCAGACAAGGTAAGGGTTTTTCTCCGAGTCGCAGTTGCCCCTATAATTTTCTTTGTATTCAAAGACATACTGTGTTCGTGAGCGGGGCCGCAATTCGTATTTCACTTGTCCTGAAATGGGATAAATTGGGGCAGACCCCGCAGGGGTGACTTCTACCCGTAGGTTTCTGCTTAACTGGTAGCTATCATTTGTAATGAGATAGACCTCAAAAAGCTTAACAAAAAGGGCACTGTCTTCATCGCTGGAGGAGACCTGGCCGTTAAGCTTCAACCACTCAAAGTTGGGAATTTGAAAAGCAACCGGCTCCCCTGAATTTATCTGATTGAGATTGATGCTATCGGCTCTGCCTGAATCACTTGTGGGAATTTTCAAGTCAACTTTAACTACGTCGCAAGAAGGAGGGTTATAACTTAGTGCCTCGTCAATATGGTTGGTATCCATTGTACTTAAGGCGTTGGTGCATTGATAGGACTCTATCCCTGCGTTGACATAGGTCACATAGTTACAATACTGAGATAGGATGAGAAGTAAATGGAACTGAGATATTACATATGTGGATAAAGCCATTTGTTCGAGCGCAAGCTGAGCTTCAGCGGACTCCGCTAGCTGTCGCTCCAAATCCTGGAAGCCTTGCTCTAGACCTTTTGCCGCTTGCATCGATGTATATGCCCGGACCGTTGCCGTCAAACTGTCCATCAATTCAAATTGGTAATCAAACCGATTGCTAAGGGTTTGCGCAAGTTGAGGTACAGCGATTTTGAGTTTAAAAAGGTGATTTCCTACGAAGATGTACGTTGCACCAGCAATGGCCTCTTTTGTCTCCACGGAATCTATTAAGGTTTCCAAATTATCGACTACTGCGTTCCAGGCAGCGTCTAGCTCAGCTATTTGAGCTTCTGAGACCTGCGGTGTGTAGTCGTTATAGCTCGTCAGAAATTCTTTTTGTATTTTCTTAAATTCATCACTACTAGTTTCTTCCGCCTCGAGCTTAGCAATGATTTTCTTGGTATTTTCTAAGTGAACTCTATTTTTCTGAAATCCTTCTCCAATTATCCTGAACTTGTCTGTGGCTATTGTTATTTGCTCACGAATTGCACCGCCCTTGACTGCCTCGAGCGTTGCCCTGGCGGCGGCATCGATACGATCAGCCGTGTCCGCGAAGCCGCCAAAGTCTCCCCCCATGACCCCCATTATTGCCGAAATACCCGAACCAATGACTTTTAACCACATAAAAGTAGCATCAATAGATTCGATTATAGTACCCTCCATTTGCAGCTTAGAAGTATCATATTCTAGTTTTTTCTGAAGTTCTGCTGCCGTCTTTTTGAATTCGTCCAATTTGCCGGTTATGAAAATTGTATCTGCCCGGGCAATTGCTTTGTCAAACTTGGCAACCTTTGTGAAATAATCACGCAAATGTGCGAAACGACTGCCTATTGACGCCTTGAAATATTTCTTTATCTCTCCAGTGAACTTTTCCAGCGAGCTTTGCAGCTCTAGCTTGGTATTTTCAACTGCACCTTTGATGCTAGAAATTTGAAACTGGGTTAACCGGGTTTTATGATCGACGCTCAGATCCAGACTTTTTGTTCTACGATCCCTGCTGCTGTACTGGTCAAGAAAAACTGCAACGTTCTCCTTGGGGATCTTAAAACCGCATTCCATGCTCCTACTAATTTTTTCAAAACTGGGGGCACATTCATCACTACTGGTCAGTCCCATTTGATTCTCGTTGGGGACTAAATCGGCAATATCTTGAAGGCCGGTGAGGTCATTTTCTCGGATTTTGTTATACATGATTTTCAGCAACTCTTTCGCAGTCTGAGCTGTCTTAAGTGCATCGGCTTTGACATAGAAATTGCCTTTAGGTGCCAATAAAAGCCAAACTAGAACAACAGCTCGCATGCTTTGCGATTCACTCGACTGCCAGTTGTCATAATTTGGCCCTAAGACACTCCTTAGTTTTTCCATACGTACAAACGTCTCAGCCAAGTAGCACGTGAGTTGCTCAAAATCATTTTTGTAGGTGTCTGTACATTCGAGTTTCATACTTGCAGAAATGGAGCCGAATTCACCGAAATGGTCCTTAATTTTGTTGCCATCCTGATTTAGGGCATTATCATAGACACTTTGGAACATTGTCATTAACCGGTGACAGAGGGTCTTATTTCTGGCGTTGGACGCAATGTTTAGGATTTCATAGACTTTAGGCTGGAGAAGATACAACATAGATAGTTCCTCCCTGACTCTAGGGGGCCCCTCTTCCCCGTCAGGGCTGGGATCCCATGGTATATTTTCATGATCTATCATCAACTCTGCTAACCTATCAAAGACTACTGCTAACTTACATTGCATTTTGGTATCGTCCCTGTCCATGCTTTCGCACTGTTCTTTCATAAGATCCATCGTGCCGCTAGACTTGTAGTGGTTAAAAAGTTTTTCTAAGCTATCGATATCGTTCGTTTCAATGTAGTAGAAGATTCGGTCGAGCATTTCTTTACCAAGTTGTTCAAGATCAGTTTTGGCCCAGTAGAGAAGTCTGGGGTCATTCCATCGTATTTTCGTAACCCAGTTAATCTCCTGTTCTCGAACATCAGGCTGTTGGCCCCATGGTGCTCTAAACCAGCCGTACCAATTGTGTCGAAGATTGCCTTTCTTCATGATATGACTGTCAACAGTTTTCCTGACGACTTCTTTCGCAGCACACAGGAACTCCTTGGACCAGCATCTATAATCGCTAGTTTTTTTGTTCGCTTCGTAATCATCACAGCCTTTCTTTAAAACGCCTTCAATTGTCGATTCATACAGCGATCGGACATTGTAAGTACTGCAATAAAAGAGAACATTATTCAGAATCAATAGAAGAGCTTTTCATTGAGTTATGTAAGGCAATGTAATCGAGGTACACTACTGCACCTAATGGAAGATATCCACGTGCCTTTCAAAAGAACGACAGACCAGTCAATACAGAATTCTTCTCGTAAGTGATACCATCATCATCATCATCATCATCATCATCAGCATCATCATCATTTATTAGCCTTGATATTAAAAGAATATTTACAGAGTACAGCATGTTGTTAGGCAAGGAGACCTCAAGAAACCACTAGGGTTATGGGAAAGGTCACCTCGATGTCACAATATGATAAGAACAAAGGGCCGCGAACGTGTGTGGCTAGGATAATTCAGTAACTATTTTAATAAAACGTTTAGCACTTTGTTCTTAAAGACAGGAAAGCTTGACAAGCTTGTAATTGATACGGGAAGACAATTCCAGATTTTTGGTCCTTGGTAAAGAGTTGTGAATTTCTTGATGTTAGTAAGACAGGAATGCACTCTATAATAACTGGCTGTTCTTCTGTCATGTCTATGAATTTGAGCGTTTGCCATAAACAGATTAAGAAAGAGTGGATTATTTAAGTGACTTATTTGACAACATCATAGGTAAAGGAGACCTGAGTCTTTAATGACATACTGGAAAATGCATTGATGTAGACATAGTTATTATAAGGAACTGGTTATGAAAGCCGGTAAACTTCAAAGGAACAAACAAAGATCACAAGATTTATGTTGGAAGGTCCCCGATCCTGCACGGTCTTTTGTTTTGTGCTCACATGCCAGTTTAGCCGAATGACGTCATCGTCACGTTTCCGATTGGTCAGTTCCTTGAGCACTAATTATGACCTATTGGGTTCTGTGCAGGGTCAGGGCTAAAAAGCGACCAAAAACATAGAGCAAAGCCCTTTGTTAAGTTTCATAACCATTTCCCTCTATTAACTATGATGTAACTCCGTCGAGTCGACGAAACCTGCATATTTAGCAACATTGGGAGTAATAGGGATACCATTGTACACGGCTAATATGGCCAAGCCTTGTAAGGAAAGGAGAGTGCCAGTTGGTAGATGGGATGAAGGGAACGTCTGACAGGGAAGCGCTTGTTCGAGCCTTTCTGGGTTACCTCCTTTTAGCTTCTGCAGCAGAGGTATTCACGTGGACTGTGGTAGCATCCTCTCGGATAATCGAAGTGCTTACTCATGGACACCAGCCAAGAAAAGTGCCAAGCTACGTTTTAGTCAAAGTTAAGTATTATTATCTGGAATCACAAAACTCGGTGCTGTTTGGTTTGCCCATCATGGGTTGACAAAAATCTGTTTACCAGCGTAGCATTAACGATATTTTCCTATAGTTCTTAGAAGTTTTACCTTTTACTACCGTATCGGTCTATCCAACTGTAGGCTTGTCCCAGATAATAATCATTCCAAGCTTGTTTGACCTCTTGTCTTCGCTCTTCGCATCTTGGGTCGGTTGGATTCCAAACTTCCTCTGAGAAACATGAACCCAGGAAAGGCAGCAAAAGAAAACCCAGGAACAGCATCCTATTCTGTTAGGAAAACAAAATGAGTTTTTTTTTTTACAATCACTAGTCTTCCTTAACCACACTTAATCCAAGTACATTCACTCTTCCTTAAATGGTCGCATGATTATGACGATTTTTGAACGACCTTGACGTGGTGGCAGTCGCAATCATATTGGCGATCAATTTGGTTGATGGAACCAGCACCATTTCAGTGTAGCCAGGACGATCAAATGCCGCTCTTGTTTTTGGTTCTGTTTCTTTTTTTCTTTTTTTTTTTTCTTTTTCTTTTCTTTTCTTTTCTTTTTTTTTCAAGAAAGGAGAGGGAGCGTGGCCGAGTGGTTGGAGCCCCGGATTTGAAATCCGTAGGTCCCAGGTTCAAATCCCGTTCCCGACCGCTTGCTGTTGTTGTTCTTGGTAGCCCCGATTTCAACTTCTCGGCTGCGCTTGTAAATAGCCAACTGGTCAGCCTCCCACCAGTTGGGATTCTTAACCTAGTTATGTTTATTTGAATATTTATTTATCATTGTGTGTATACGTTGGACCTGAAAAGCCCCTATGGGGAGTGGCCAATAACGTGTACATCCATGTACAAAAGCTGATAACAAAGTAAATTTTTGTTTGCTGTTACAATTGTGTAAAGTTCAGTCAAATATCCTAATTTTTTTCCAATGCTAAAAAATCGTGACTTCTCGTACGAATAAATCGCCAAGTTTTGTGTCCAAAATGAAGGAATGGTCATTTTTAGAGATATTAAACATTACCTTGGTCTTTAGGGGTATGGAATTTCTCCATCATTTTGAACCGTTGGAAAATTAATCGTATCTCCATCCTTTGGAATTCGGAACTCTGACCTTACCACAGAAGCCGATACGACATTCGAAAGCTTGAGCTTGTGAGCCACCATAACGTCAAGAGAAAGTCGATGTTTATTTGGTTATTGTGGGATTAAACAGACGTATTATCCCTTTGGAAATAAAATGTGACGGAAATGATGGATTTGAATTAAATCATTTGAAGTGCCAAAATGAAATGAGCCATGGGATGATCCTCGAAGTGTTTCTGAGGCGGTGAAACGCGATTCACTAAAACGCCAAAAAAACCCTTTTGAAGCTTTTTCTTTTAAAGACGCTGGACGTTATTTACGGCAGGTTTCCACTCGAAGCCATTGTCACGGTATAAATGTATTCTTTAAGTAAAACATTCTTTAGAAGTAAGATATTTAGCATACATATTCTCGTTTATCTTTGATAGTTTCAAGTAAAGCCTTATACTACTGTTATAGAATTAATCTTTCGAGCCTTCGCCGATCCACGGCATCATCAGATGATATGGAAACTGTGGTTAAACCCTAGGTATCTGTACAGACGTGAATCAGCCCTTTGCTATACATGGTAATGACATTGTCTAACCATTTTTTTTTTTGTAAGGGATAGTCTGCCTTGGTATCAAAGACCATTTTCTACATTGATATCACTCTGATTATTACGGTGATACAAAATATCTGCCTTGATATCCTAATCTTTACATGATCCACGAGTTTCTACCTTGATATCTGCGTACTACTATCGGGACAAATTATTTCATTCACTGATATCGAATTTTAAATACCGGGCGAGATAGCCCATTTTATTTAAAAGAAAAACACTTATTTAACTTTCCTGATCGAGTTAAACTCATCGACTGATCAAAAGAATGCGTTTTTTCGAAATATCTATGACAC